AACCACTATGTGTATCAATATATAAAAGAAAGAAAAGGAAAAGGAATATACATGAATTGGGTTCTTTTATTTGTTTGTTTGTTGTTCTGCTGGGCCTGAACTTTGGGCCTGAGAGCTGCCCCTCAGCTCTTCAGCTCAAGGCTAGCACTCTACTACTTGAGCCACAATGCCACTTCCAGCTTTTTCTGCTTTACGTGGTGCTAAGGAATCGAACCCAGGATCTCATGCATGCAAGGCAAGCACTCTGAGCCACCTTCCCAGCCTAAATGTTTTTTTGTTTGTTTTATCTGGAAAGGTAAAAGACGTGTGTGTAAGCACATGTGTGCCACAAGCACCCACATACTCGTCATGGGCCTTTTACTCAAGAGCCTGACCACTGTTCAAGGCTAGCACTCCAGCACTTGAGCACAGTATTACTTCTGGCTTTTTGGTGGTTAATTGGAGGTAAGAATCTCACTGACTTTCCTGCCCAGGCTAGCTTCAAATCAAAATCCTCAGACCTCAGTCTCTCAAGTAGTTAGGATTATATGTATGAGACATCAGCACCTAGCCAAAAGATATTTTAAATAGGACAAACCAAGAATTCATAAAGAAAAATATAGTGAGTTTGCCTATTAAAAACTTTTCAACTCTATGGGGGAAAAAAAGATAATAGAAACACCAAAACAAGCTGAGAAGAACAAAACTGAGTAATATGTATACCATATAAGACAAAGAACCAATTGTCTGTTTTTGGAAAGCTCTTAAATCAATTAGATAAACACAAATAACCTAATAAAAAATGGGCAAAGGCAACAAAATATAGTTCACAGACATAAAAGAAACATAAAATAGTAAAATAAGTTTTTTTCAACTATCAAACTGACAGTAACTAAAAAGTTTGCTAATGCTAAGAGAGCTGGTTTGGGTATTGGGTATTGGATATGGCTATGGTAGTATAAACTGGTTCTACCCTTGGAGCAAAAACACAGTGACAGCACTGAATGAGCACTTGTCTCAGTAGTTCCAACACCCAGGAATCTGCCCTATAAGACAAAACAATTGTAACTTAGGCAATTTTTTTCTAATTCAAAAAGTTGGTTCATCAGTACATTAAAAAAGTACACAATAACCATAAAATGAAATATAACAAATGCAAGAGAATGAAGTTGATATGTGCATACTGTTGTGGAACAAAGAAGTCTAATATATGCTAGTAAGCAGAGAAGCTGTGAAAACAGAAAGCTGTTGGGTAATAGGTGATATGAGTGGGGAAAGCAAAAGTATAAGTGAGTAGTCTATATGATTAAAGTACTGTAGATGACTGTGTGAAATATCAGGGTGATGCTACTTTAGTAACAGACTTTTAAAAAATGACAGGAAGGGGAGGGCAAATGGAAGGATGAAGGAATCTGAATACGTTCAAAATTCTTTCCGTACCTGTGTGAAATGAAAAAGTGAAGCCTGTTGAGATTAGTTCGAGAAGCAGGAAGATAAAGGAGAGTGACAGGGGGGTTAAGTCTGATCAAGACACACTATTTGTGTATATGATCATATCAAAATAAAACCCCCTTTTACAACTAATTAATGCTATTGTAAGAAAAAAAAAGCAGAAGCAAGCAAATTATTTGCAGCATCAGGTGCTTTATATATGAAGAAAGCATAACATGTTAAGGAAATTGCTGACAATGAAACCAGAGTCGACTTTTACTTTCTGTTTTATTTCTATGCTGCCTTAATTGTTCAACCAAACACTAGCTATTAAAAAAATAATAATAAAAAGCCAGGTGCTGGTGGCTCACGCCTGTAATCCTAGCTACTCAGGAGGTTGAGATCTGAGGATCGTGGTTCAAAGCCAGCCCGGGCAGGAAAGTCCGTGAGACTCTTATCTCCAATAAACCACTAGAAAACCAGAAGTGACGCTGTGGTTCAAGTGGTAGAGTGCTCGGGACAGCGCCCAAGTCCAGAGTTCAAGCCCCATGACTAAAAAAAAAAACTTGTTCCACTTGTGCTCTCCTTATGAGAAAAAAGAGACCTACAAGAGGAAGAAAAAAAGTCAGTGAGACACTGGGCCTCTTCCTCTAACCCAGTTCTAACTCTGGTGGAAATCAGAAAGGACATCACCACTTAGGACCTTCTGCCCTCTCAGACAATAATGTAGGAATCTGAATGTCGGACCTGAATTGTCCATCACCAATTATATCCCATGCCCAAGCATGCCCATCCCAGTCTGGGATTTCAAGTATATAATGGAAAATATAGCTAAGCACAAAAAACTGAGTGCTGAAATTACTTTGTCTGTGTCTTTTAATTTTTTTTTCCTTCAGCTGGTATACAGCTGGGCATGGTATAGTACAAGACTGTAGGCCCAGGACTTGGGAGGCTCTTTTGAGTCCAGGAGTTCAAGACTAGCCAGGACAACATAATGAGACCCCCTCCCCACCTTGGAAGGAAAGAGGCATAGCTTAATTTAAATATATACAAGTACATATATATGGATCTATATAATGAATACGTAAATATGTACCTATATTCATATATAATATATAATATCCATATAATATATACATATATGGACATATATATGTGTGTGGACTGTATATGTATGTATATAATATATGTATATATGTATGTGTTGTGTGTATGTGTGTAGATAGATAGATAGATAGATAGATAGATAGATAGTCCACATACAAGACTACAGAATTCCTGCCCTTTCTAAGGGTAAAATAAAAAACATCATCTTAGAAATTTAAACTTTTTTCCATATATACACTTTAGAGATTATCAATCCATTGGGTTATAAAGAGTACAAACTCACCAAATACAGGGACTCTATAATCCTAAAGTCATTCCAAAGCCAGACCCCAGAAAACCAATCTAAGAGACGTTTGCATCCAAATAACTAGCCAAACCGGGCGCTGGTGGCTCACGCCTGTAATCCTAGCTACTCAGGAGGCTGAGATCTGAGGATCGCGGTTCAAAGCCAGCCCGGGCAGGAAACTCCATGAGACTCTTATCTCCAATAAACAACCAGAAAACCAGAAGTGGCACTGTGGCTCAAGTGGTAAAGCACTAGCCTAGAGCTGAAGAGTTGAGGGACAGGGGACAGGTTGACAGGGGACAGGGCCAAGGCCCAGTTCAAGCCCCACGACTGTCAAAAAAAAAAAAAAAAATAGCCAAGCAGTGTTCCATAGAAGATTTATCTGTCATGCTATCCATACTCCTGCTCTCATCAGAATACACTTTATTTAAATAGGAACAAAAGTATATTATTGCCAGGAAATAAAACACATGTATTTCTATATGAAAATATTGGCTTTATATTCAAAAAAAATGACAAGAAGTCAGGTGCTGGTGGGTCGGGCCTATAATCCTAGCTACTCAGGAGGCTGAGATCTGAGAATCATGGTTCGAAGCCAGCCCAGGGAGAAAAGTCTCCACAAGACTCTTATCTCCAATAAACTACTCAAATAAGCAGAAGCAGTACTGTGGCTCAAGTGGTAGATCACTAGCCTTCAGCAGAAAGAGGCTTAGGGAAAGCACCCAGGATCTGAGTTCAAGCCCCAGGACAAGCAAAAGAAAAAAAAAAAGAACTAGAGCCCTATATTATTGACTCAACTTACCCCAGGACTTTGCCTATCTGGCTCGTGTAAAAGCCAGTTTCTAGCCAGACTAACCAGACTCCAGTTGCTCATGCCTATAATCCTGGCTACTCAGGAAGCTGAGATCTGAGGATCATGGTTCAAAGCCAGCCCGGGCAGGAAAATCGATGAGACTCTTTTTTTCTTTTTTTTCTCTAGAAGCTTGTGTGGGTTCTTTTTTTTTTTTTTAATTGTGAAAATACAGTACAGAGGGGTTACAATTACATGGGCAATGGGCTGGGAAGGTGGCTCAGTGGTAGAGCACTTGCCTTGCATGCTCGAGGCGCTGGGTTCGATTCCTCAGCACCACATAAGAAAAAAGCCGGAAGTGGCACTGTGGCTCAAGTGGTAGAGTGCTAGCCTTGAGCTGAGGGAAAGTGCCCAGGCCCAGAGTTCAGGCCCCATGACAGGACCCAAAAAAAACAAAAACAAAAAACAATTACATGGGCAAGGTAATGGGTACATTTCTTATCAAGCATTGTTGCCTCCTCCTTTGTTTCCCCTTCCCATCCCTTCCCCCTACCTTCCCTACTCTCCACCCCCCTGCCAAAGTTGTAAAGGTCCTTTTTCGACATAACATCTTGTACATCTCATTGTTGCAATGGGTCCACCTGTATGTATCCCTATTTAAACAATTTGTTTTTTCCCCCGTCCCCTCCACAAAGTATACCAACATCAAATACAGTGAAAACAGGAGTTATATCTTATCTCCAATAAACCACTCAGGAAACCTGAAATGCTGTGGCTCATGTGGGAGTATTAGCTTTGGGCTAAAGAGCTGAGGAACAGTGCCCAGGCCCAGAGTTCAAGCCCCATGACCACCACCACCACCAACAACAACAACAACAACAAAAGCCAGTATCTAGTATACTCCAGCCCTGTCTAGAAGCCAGTGTAGGGGAGAAAGAAAGGACTTAACACCTGAGGTACTCCTATCTTCACCTAGCAGTCCTACCAAGCCCCACTAAAACAGAATTATTTCATTAACACTCACATAATAGCTCTACTCTGTTGCTATGCTTTAAAGCAGCAAAGGATTAAAATCTCTTAATCAATAATCATTGGCCTACAGGTACTGTACACAGTTCATTTTGTCCTACAATATTATTATAATGAGAAGCAAGAGCAGATAAAGGTCAAGTTGGTAATTAAAGCTATATTGTAGAAATATGTACACCCAAGATATGATTAAATAAGAAAATATTACTCAGTTCAGTATGGTCATTAAACTTGCATTAATTTATAAATATTTAAATATACCATATGATGATCATAAATAATCTGTTTTTGTCAGTTTATAAAGTAATATAACTCATAAACCTTGTGAAATATTACTGCAGAGAGAAACAGTCAAGAAAGTATACAAGCCAGACTTACATTCAAATGCTGTAGTTGTTGCTTCAGGTAGAACCTGGCCTATCACATCCTAAACAAAGAAAGAATAAAGAAACACAGTAAGTCATCTTCCTTATTGCTAACATATGACAAATCCAATAGGAAATATGAGAACCTGGAAAAGATGTTTGAAATGTTGGCATAAGCCATGTGAACATTAGCTCATAATCATACTTATCTCAACAATGTAAGCCTATAACTTTTTCTTTTGGCCAGTTCTGGGGCTTGAATTCAAGGCCTGGGCACTGTCCCTGAGCTGCTTTTGCTCAAGGCTAGCACTCTACCACTTGAGCCACAGTGCTATCTCCAGCTTTTTCTGTTTATATGGTACTAAGGAATTGAACCCAGGTCTTCATGAGTGTTAGGCAAACACTCTACCACTAAACCACATTTCCGGCCCCTGTAAGCCCAAAGTTTAAATCCCAATTCCAAAGAAAAAAGTCTTCAGCAATCTTCATTAGATTGTACTAACAACAATCTTTTACTTTCAACTACACTACTGTGTGTGTGTGTGTTTGTGAGCGCGCGCGTGCGCGCGTGCGTGCATGTGTGTATGTGTGGGTATTGGCAGGGAAGAAGGGGTCGATCATGGGGCTTAAACTCTGGGCCTGGGTGCTGTCCCTCAGCTCTTCAGCTCAAGGCAAGCATTCTATCACTTGAGCCATAGTGCCACTTCCAATTTTCTAGTGGTTTAGGGAGATAAGAGTCTGAAGGACTTTCCTGTCCAGGCTGGCTTTGAACTGTGATCCTCAGATCTCAGCCTACTGAGTAGCTAGGATTACAGGCATGAGCCACTAGCACCCAGCACTGTATTTTTTTTAATGGTCTCTTCATTGGGAGGCTGTGAAAAAAGAGGGGCTTGAGTGTCAGACCACCCTAGATTTGGATCTGTTCTAGATTTTATTTATTAGATTTTATTAGACTGATTTCTTTTAAAGTCGCTCAACCTCTCTGAGCCTCAATCTAATTATTCTCCAGAATGAACCAAGTGATATTTACAGGGATGACAGAAAATCTAAATAATACAATGAACATAAGCTTGGAACTTGGCACATGGTCACAACAGATGTTGTTCCTGATCTGCAAGGAGTCTCCCCCATGATGATACAAGCCTAGAAAGCTACATTTAATAATATCACCTATTCCTATCAACCTTTATTTTTATTCGGGACAGCACTAGGGCTTGAATTCAGGGCCTAGGAACTGTCCCTTAGCTTCTTTCCTCATGGTTGGCACTCTACCACTTGAGCCACAGCTTCAATTCTAGCTTTTTTGTGGTTAATTGGAGATAGGAGTCTCAGACCTTCCTGCTCAGACTGGCTCTGAACCACAATCCTCACATCTCAGTGTCCTAAGTAGCTAGGAATACAGGTCTGAGCCACTGGAGCCCATTAAGCAATGGCAAATATAATGAAAGTGATGCTAATATAATCTACCAAAAAAAGGCAAAAAGGTATATATAATCTGATAGCAATGTGTAAATGAATCTATAAAGTTGAAAACACTCAAGCAATAGGCTCCAGACACAGATTAAGGGAAGAGGAACAGAACACCTAAGCTCTGAAAAGTGATCCTCCATCCCATCCAGTCCCACTGCAATGGCCTGCAAACCTCATTTTTCTCAGGACCTTGGCCACAAGGCCCACCCTGGCTGCTTTACTAGAATTGGCACCCTGCAGCCAGCTGACAAAGCTGCTCACTGCTCCTGGTGCTTCTCATCAGGGAACCCACCGTCCTTATAAGCAGAATACTAAGCAGAGTAGGAATTGCAACTTCCTTGGAAAGGCAATTCTTCAGAAGCTTTGCTGCAGTGGCAATTTGCATAATAGTCTTGGCTCTCCAGTGCTTTTCCCCCTTTTCTAAAATAAATCTGTACATATAAAATTGATTAAGGGTCACCATCTTAGGCAGTCCTTGCTGATGAGAGTCAAAAAGAGATGATATGTTCTCTGAGTCTAGTCTTAGCAAATGAAACACCAACTTGTGGAGTATGTGTCTAAGAATTTAGGGTTAGAAAATTCTTTCTACACAATGGGAGAAAATATTTCTTGACAGGGAGCTGTAGAGTGAGTATCAAATAAAGTGCATAGGCATCCAGTCTAAAGCATGAGAGCGCAGACTCCAGCCAGACTACTAGGGCTGGGTACTGGCTCTGCCTCTCAACCAAAACAAAGAAGCCTCTCTGCCTTAGGGTCCTTATGTAAAAACAAGATCATAGCTTTATGTACCTTGTAGGACAAGTAAGTTAACATTTGTAAAGGGCTTAGAAGAGTGTCCAGTACATGGCAAGTGCCATATTAATGTATGTTAATAAAAGAAATCACTGATCACTAGAATATCACAAAGCTGCCTTCATTACAAAACGTTTAAATTCAGCACCCAACAATCAGTGAAGGACGGATCTTTCCCAGTATTTACTGGAGACCTTTTCTAGCCACTAGAGAGAAGAATGGGAGAAAAGGATAGAAGGCACTAATTCTAACCCTTTTAAGTCCAAGTTATCACTGGGTACTTTCAGAGAGCTCAAATCACTCTGACAACCAATCCTGATAATTGAATGGCGCTCTACAGGATTAGCAAACAAGTCTTGTCCTACTCTTTTTTTATGCTGGTCCTGGGGCTTGAACTTAGGGTCTGGGTGCTGTCCCTAGGCTTTTGTGCTCAAAGCTAGTGTTCTACCACTTGAGCCACAGCTCCACTTCTGGCTGTTCTAGGGGGCTAGTGGGGGGTAAGGGGGAGGGAGGGTTGGTTAATTGTGAATAAGAGTTTCACATACTTTGCTGCCCTGACTGGCTTTTAACTGAGATCCTTAGATCTCAACTAGGATTACAGGGGTAAGCCACTGGCACAAACTGATCATTCTTCTGAGTAGCAGACTCCATCAAACAGCAAGTTGCTAAAAACCAAAAAACCAAATACACTGGGTAGCAATGTCATGCTTTGCCCTAAGCAAAAAAAAAAAAAGGCACCCTACATGCCTTACATCAAATATGGGGAAATGAGAGAAGGAGGAGTAAACTTGCTTGAGAGAATTATGTGAACACAAGACCATCTTATCTACTTAAGCAAATAAAGTGGGGCTATCACAATAACAAAGGGGTATAAAGTCTGAAAATCAGTAGATACCTATTGGCCATTTTTAAGGAGAGTAAATTTAAATAGTTTTGTAACAGGTGCTTAGACTGTTTCTGCTGAAAAGCACTGAATCCCTATCTGGACCTAAGAATTAGCTAAAAGCTTGACATCCCTACCTCCGTTTTCTACCTGTCTTTGTTCTGTCTCTCGCCCTGTAGCCACTTTACATCTTTTACACCTTTGAATCCCAGAAAGACAGGAGTTAACAAGTTTACAAGAGGGGATAGAGGGAAATCAGTGTCTCCTCAGGTCAGTGATAACTTCTCTGAGAGAATGACCCAGCAGAACTTGCCTATAACCAGACTCTTTAAATTATGCATACCTCTCTTCCCCACCTCATTTTTTAAAATCTATTTAAACCTATAGCTCATGTCTATATCCTGAAGATGGCTAAAGATGGGCTGACAATGTCTTTCTAAGGCTGTCCATGCCACATAATAAATCTCCTTTCTCTTCCCTTCATCATGTCTTTCTTTGGCATGAACAAGTTAGCTAGACCATTTTATGTACATTTTCGAGGTATTTCAAGGATTTATTTAAAACTTATTTCTAACTGACCTTCTGCCCTCAACAACACATTTCATAAGACCTGAAAGTTCCAAAAGAAAACTTTAAATTAACATCTTGATGGTGATCATTTCTTGATCACTTTCTTCTCCATCCTTTTAATAAATCAGACAAACAGCCGGGTGCCAGTGGCTCACGCCTGTAATCTTAGCTACTCAGGAGGCTGGGATCTAAGAATCGTTCAAAGCCAGGAGGGGCAGGAAAGTCGGTGAGACTCTTATCTTCAATAAACCACTAGAAACCGGAAGTGGCACTGTGACTCAAGCGGTAGAGTGCTCCCTTGAGCTGAAGAGCGCAGGGACAGCGCCCAAGCCCAGAGTTCAAGCCCCACAACCTACCAAAAATAAAAATAAGTTGGTGAGACTCTTATCTTCAATAAACCACTAGAAACCGGAAGTGGTGCTGTGACTCAAGAGGTAGAGCGCTCCCTTGAGCTGAAGAGCACAGGGACAGCGTCCAAGCCCAGAGTTCAAGCCCCACAACCTACCAAAAATAAAAATAAATTAAATAAATAAATAAATCAGACAAACAGCTAATAGGCCAAAAATAAAACAGAGAGGCTAAGCCAGGTGCTAGTGGCTCACAACTGTAATTTAGCTACTAAGGAGGATGAGACCTGGAAGGCAAAGGTTTGAAGCCTATCTTGGCAGAAGTTCATGAAACTCCATCTCTAACAAGCAAAAAGCTAGGCTGGAGTTGTGGCTGAAGTGGTGAGCAAACACGTACAAGACCTCAAGTTCAAGTCCCAGAACCAGAGACGGTGGGAGGAAGGATCTGAGCATTTATAATAGCTTGCTTTTTTAAATTTTTTTATTGTAAAAATGTACAGCGGGGTTACAGTTACATAAGCAAGGAAATGAGTACAATTCTTGTTGAACATTGTTACCCTCTCCCTCATGTTCTCCAGCTATCCCTCCTGCTCTAGCTTGCGTCTTAAGTAGCTAGAGTAGAATAAAACTTTTGCTCTTGACTTCAGGATTATACTCTAGTTGCCAAGATAAAGACTGACAATTAAAAAAAAAACATTTCTGGTAATGATAAAAAGCCAAATTAAATCCCTTAACAGCAAATAGCTTTTTCTAACTCAGAAGGAAAGAAAAGCAAAGGTTCAGTGTACACAAAAATTTCAAGTGGGGGAAACCGAAGCTGAAGCTTCATGACAAGATACCAAGAGCAGGGAGAGGAGGGCTGGACATTTTCCCCACCACACTCCAAACCAACCTAATCTTGGACAGGTTCCCTAAAGCTAGGGGCTGTCTCCAGGGAGAATAAGTGCCGAAAGCTGAAAAACACATACAACAGATACCCCATAGGTCTCTACCCCTAGGGACCAGGAAACCCTCCCTTCCTCCTTCATACTACAGCCAGTTCCTGATGATTCAGGTAAGGCCCAAAGAAGCCAAATGTATTCTCCAGGGTCACCTAGCTGTTTGGTAGTGACGAGGATCGGGCACCAGTAGTTCATGCCTATAATCCTAGCTACACAGAGGGCTGAGATGGTTCAAAGCCAAGAAACTTATGAGACTCTTATCTCCAATTAACCACCAAAATTTGGAAGCAGAACTCTGGCTCAAGTGGTAGAGCACCAGCTCTGGGCAAAAAAAGTTAAGGGACAGTACACAGGCCTTGAGTACAAGCCCCAGAATCAGCACAAAAAGTAAAAAAGTGATTGGGGTCAAAGATATTCAGTTACTCTAGACTCAACAACTGACCCCTACTTCTAGCTTGTGTTGGTTCTGCCAAAAACTAGCTGGTTTTTCCCCTGGCCCAAGCTCTGGCCTCCTTTTCTGAAAACAAGGTGAAGAGGCATCTTAGAGGAAAGATTTTCTAAGTATTGCATAGCTTTAAAGCCAGAGACACTGACATTCCTTCGGGTTGTGTTCTTTTTTCTTTTTTTTTTGTCTGTTCTTGACGAGGAGATGAGGAGATGAAGAGGTCATCATTTCCTGGTGATCTGAAATTTCATTGGAAAAACTTGCCCTGAAGAAGCACTGCAAGTCTGCACAGACCCACTGCCATGAGTCCCTCCATCAGACCTTCTGATTAATGTGCTCCAGCTGGGCTTACCCCCAGCAAAATGTGCAGATGGTACAGTGAGCTCTGGTAGTGAGGTAACTTGAGCACTGCCTAACTAAGATCAGAGACCAACCCGGAATGGTGGTACATGCCTGTAATCCCAGCCATGTGGGAAGGAGAGAGGCAGAAAGACAGCAAATCCAAGGCTAGCCTGGACAAAATTACTAAAACCTAATCTCAAAAACAAAATACAATTTTTAGCTGGGCACTGGTGGCTCATGTCTGTAATCCTAGCTACTCAGGAGGCTGAGATCTGAGGATCACAGCCCAAAGCCAGCACGGGAAGGAAAGTCCATTAAGACTCTTATCTCTAATAAACCACTAGAAAACAGGAAATGGCACTGTGGCTCAAGCGGTAGAGTACTTGCCTTGAGCTAAAGAACTCAGGGACAGCGCCCAGGCCCAGGGTTCAAGCCACACAACCACCACCAACAACAACAAAAATATAAATTTTTAAAGGACTAGAAGCCCAGCTCAAGAGGTAAAGCTGCCTAACATGGTAGAGAACCTAAATTCAATCCTCAATAGTAGGAGGAAAAAAATCCAAACAGCAGCAGAAGACCAAAGGCCCTGATGACACTGTAGTGACAACAGTTACAGAGAGAGCTTTTATGTGCTCTCCACATACCAGCCCTGGCAGTCCTCAGAACTCTAGAAATAGACACTGGATTTAATCCTCCCCTTTTTTTTAAGAAACTGAAATAAAAAAAAAATAAAAAACACTAATCCAAGTGGTAAGACTTTCAGTTTAAATTCAGGGAAGTCTGGGGCCAGAGCTTGTGATGTTAGTCACCCTCATCTACTTAAAATAATACTGCCGGTTGTTCAGAATGCCAAGTAAGAGAAAACTCATCATCTTCATCTTCAACACCTCACAACATCTTCACAAGGCTTGAGGCCAGGTATCAGGGACACTACAAATAAAGAAACTGACGCTCCGAATAGAGTGACTTACCTAGTTCATAGGCAAAAAAAAGAAAAAATGTCTTGACTCAAAACCTAGCATTTGTTCAAAACTACAACAGCGCACATCCTTTTTTATTCTCCCTCATTACACAAATGTGCCAGGGTCCCACAAACAGCAGAAAAAGGGGAAACAGATTTTCCCATCCATCCAGAAGTTCTTCTAGAGAAACGAAGGCAAAGAATCACAATGAAAAGTGTACTTTTGCTGGCACATGCCCTCAAAGCTGCAGGAAAAAGAGAGGTGGCCACTTACTAACACAAACTCAGAACTTGCTTCCTCCTGGTGGTAAGCTAATGAAAGGGGCAGAGTGGCAACCACCAGGGAAAGGAAAGGACAATGTAGGAAGAACTCTGAATGCAGAAAAAAAGAAACACTTTGATGCATAGGCCTGGAAGCTATTGGCTCTCAACAGTCTCTACACTCCTGCAACTGAAAGCCTACAGGGTCAGTAACATCTAGAGCTTCAAAATGAAGTTAACAGAAATCAAACTCTTAAGTAATCCAAGACGATTTAGGGAAAAAAAAAAAATCACATTACAAACCAAACACTGGTGGCTCGTGCCTGTAAATCTACATACTCAGCAGGCTGAGATCTAAAGATCATGGTTCAAAGCCAGCCCAGGCAGAACACTTTTTGAGACCCTTAGCTCCCATCACCCAGCAAAAAGCCAGAAGTAGAGTTGTGGCTAGTGGCAGAGCACGAGCACTGAATGAAAAACCCAAGCAAGAGCAAAAAGCCCTGAGTTCAAGCGCCCAGTAGTGGCATTTAGGAAGGAAAGGAGGGAGGGAGGGAGGGAGGGAGGGAGGGAGGGAGGGAGGGGGAAAAATCATATCACATGTATCTTCCTCTTTCCTCCTCCCAAAAGCTGCCAGTCAGCCCACTTCTTATCTTGCAGGTAAGGTCCACTGTATATCTGTCTCTTGCAACAAGAAACATCTATGTATGTCCATTTCAACTCACAGTAGTGTTATTAAATACATAAAGTGAGCACAATACACCTCTATCAATAGCAAATGAAGACTATAAAGATGTAAGGGGGCTGAGACATGAAGGGAAAAAATACAGTAAGAAGTTTAAGTAAGGAAGTTTGAATCAGGCACCAGTGACTCAGGCTTATAATTCTAGCTACTCAAGAGGCTGAGATCTGAGGATCACAGTTGTTGGAAGCAAGCCTGGGAAGACCAATTCAAGAGACTTCTATCTCTAACCAGCAAAAAGCCAAAAGTAGAGCTGTGGCTTAAGTGACAGAATGCCAACTTTGAGGGGGGGGGGGTAAACACCTGGAAGAACACCTAAAGTCCTGGCTTTTTTTTTTTTTTTTTGTCGGTCGTGGGGCTTGAACTCTGGGCCTGGGTGCTTTCCCTCAGCTCTTCAGCTCAAGGCGAGTGCTCTACCACTTGAGCTACAGCGCCAAAAAATCCCAGTACTGGCACCAAAAAATTAAAATACAGAGCTAAAAACAAGCCACCAACAGTTACACTTGAATCTAACATTCCACACTAGAAATACATTCTGAGTATTCTTTTTTTTGGGGGGGGGGAGGAGGTCGTGTGGGTGCTGTCCCTCATCTCTTCAGTTCAAGGCTAGTGCTCCACCACTGGAGCCACAGCGCCACTTCCGGTTTTCTGAGTGGTTTTTTTGGAGATAAGAGTTTCACTGACTTTCCTGCCCCTCAGGCTTTGAACCTCGATCCTCAGATCTCAGCCTCCTGAGTAGCTAGGATTACAGGCGTGAGCCACCGGCGCCCAGCTCATTCTGAGTATTCTGAAGTATCACTTCTAAGATGCACATGTTCGCTCTATGCTAAGGTCTCTGAAATCGGGTTGCTTTTATACAAGAGGTCAGGTGCAGTGGTTTGAAGGCAGCACTTTAGGTTTGGGTTTGTTTTTTTTTCCATCCTCAGGTAAGATTATGTTTTACATCAGTGACATCTTAAGTTTGCTCAAATATGCCAAGTTGAAGCTGTCCAGGGTCTCTTTCCCAGCAGGTCACCAAGTTCAGAGGAAGTAGAAAGGCATATCTGGAAATTAGCCAGGGGCATTATTCATTCCCCGGATGCTCGTCTACACTCAGTTTTGTAGTATGTCTGTGCGCAGGCTGTGAGCTTCCTGCGGACAGGGGTTCAGTCTGCTTTATCTGTTACCCCAAGGCCCTTCACAAGTGACAAGTTTCAGGTTTCAGCCGATGAATTAATCAATGCTGTGCTTGAAGAATAAAAAAAAAAAATCTGATACGATTAGAGGCCAGCAATGGCCACTACCACTGGCTCAGCCCCCCACCCCCAGTGATCAAAGCGACCCACTCCTCATCCCCAGCACTGCACCCCAAGCTCTGCACCCCGAGATGACCACTCACCAGCACGTCCCTGAAGAGCAGCTGCGGCCCGGCGTGCACGGTCCAGTCCACCGCGCCACTGTTCGGAATCTTGATGCGAATCACCAGCACCTGGGTCTCCATGGCACAGAAGGGGCCGAGGGCCAGCCACCGCATTACAGGCTAGAGGGGCTCACATCCTGCGGCAGGGGGGCACCCACGGGCCCCTGCTGAGGAGGGGTTCCAGAGGGCGAGAAGGGGGGGCGGTGAGAGGCAGAAGACCAGGGTGGACACGGGAGGACAGCGGGGCGGGCTGGCAGGGCCCGCAGGCCCCGGTCGGGAGCGGGTTGAGGGTACCTAGGAGAACCGGCAGGGGCCAGGAGGAACTAGCGGAGATCGGAAGGTTCTGGAGTTTGCAAAAGGGAACCGAGCGGGGCCCCCCGCCCCGACAGTGCAGGCAGACGTGAGGAGAGGCAGCGGGTGTGAGGGGAAGGAGCAGCAGCAGGTGTCCAGCCCTCCTCCGGGGCTCAGCGGACGCGGGGGAGGGTCGCCGACCGGAAGGGGTCCCCGGCCCGCCAGCTCACGGGAAAGGCCGACGGGAGGGTTCGAGGACGGAGTCCCCCCCCCCCGACCCCACCTGGAGCCTGAGGGCGCCAAGCGGACTGGCTCAGTGCCGCGCACCCAGAACGCCAGCCCCCGAGGCGGTAGCGGCGGCGGCGGGAAGAAAAGGAGGAGGACGAAGGCGACGGCGGCGGCGGCGGCGGCGGCAGCACAATGTTACTCCGGAACCAAAACGCGCGGCGCCGGAACCCCGGGAACCGACGAGCGGGGACCCGCCTCCCAGGGCGCCATATTGGAAGAGGGCAGCGAAGGCGCGCCGCCACGCCCCTAAGCGGGCGGGCCCGGAGTCGTGAGCAAGTGGGCGGGGCCGACCGTGTGGGCCGGCCTGGGGGAATCCGGCCTTAGCGGGAAGGCGCACAGCCAGGTGAGGACCAGAAGTTTCTTAGGCCTTGCAGCAGTGGCTCAGGCCTCCGGATCCTAACTACTGAGGCTGAGATCCAAGGATCGCGGTTCGAGGGCAGCCCTGGCAAGAAAGTCCTTAAGCCGCTGATCTCTGATTAAACACCAGAAGGCCGAAAGTGGGAGCCATGGCTCAAGTGGTAGAGCGGTACCCTTGAGGAAAAGAAAAATAGCTCAGGGACAGCGCGCCCAGGTCCTGAGTTCAAGCCCCAGGACTGGCACAAGAAATATATATGTATATATACCCATGCGTGCCTGTGTGTGTGTGTGTGTGTGTGTGTGTGTGGTTTGCCTTAAGACAACCCTGAAAACCAAGCTGCTGCTCCGTTATCCCTCCTCCATTGTCAAGCCATGCACTTAAAATATTCAGGGGAGAGAGAGCTTTGCTTGGTGCATCAAATCAGCAGAAGCACAGCAAACGCTCACTGAAGAGGTGTTATTTACCCTTTTATCCAAGTCACAGGTCCAGAGTACCATCATCATCCTCCCAAGTCGGCAAAACATCTTTATGAGTTGTTCTATGATGTCTTTTACCTTACTAGCGACTTAAAATGCCAAACAGTTCCTCTGTTCAAACCCAAATGTAAAGAAACTCAAGGAGGAAGTATTGTGTTAAAATTCAAAACAAAACAGCTATTGCATGTGTTTTCAACTACATTGCATGGGTATGCAATCAGAGGACAAAATAGTTGTAAGCTTTGATATTTTTGCTTGTTATATATGGGTTTTTTGTTTTATTTTGTTTGTGCTAGAACTAGGGCTTGAACTCAGGGCCTCACTCCCTTAAGCTTTTTTCACTCAAGGCTGGCACTCTACCACTTAGCCACATCTCTACTTCCTTCAGATTCATTGGAGGTAAGAGCCTCAGGGACTTTCCTTCCAGGGCTCCATTCTAATCACAATCCTCAGAGCTCAGCCTCCTGAGTAACTAGGAATACAAATTCAGCCTTGGTTGTTGTTACCTCACATTTTAAAGTGTGAACCCTTTTGATCTGTGGTGCCCATATAGAAGTTTGTTTACAAATGGCAGTGTGTAGGTTGGTCCATCATCTGTTTCTAATAAAGGTACCCACATCAGCTTCACCTTTGGGGATTGATTTTCTATAACTTCATTAGGGTAAGGAGTCCAGTTTCCCCTGAACAGATAGCTATTTATTTTGAGAAGGGAGAAAAATTATTGAAAAGTAAATGTTGGTAATTTTCAGTATAATACCACAATTCTTTTCTGAATAATTTTCTCTGCCTAGTTTTATATTTAATTTGAAAGGCCATTGTAGGAAATAAGTGATTACCTTTTAGGTATTGCAATTTAATAGCTTAGGTAGAAATTCATTTAGTAAGATCCACCAGGTATTCTGCCCCTTTCAACCTGCACTTCAGTCTGAAGTGAACCTCTGAAAAATAAACCATTCATCCAAAGTCCCCATGTAGTTTTAGTTGAAAATTCATTTCCTATTATTTGAGAAAATAGACCACAAAACTAGAGATTTTGCTATGGACCTACAAATTGTTAAAATGTCTTTTTATTCAGAGTACCAGGGGAAAAGTCAACTCCATTTGCCAATTTTGCATACAAATTCTGAGCTTTTCTTAGTATCAGTATTGGCTATAATCACATTTCAGCTTTTCAACAGCCTTGCTGGATTTGAACAAGGATTTCCCAAAAAGTTCCTCCTAATTATCATTGCAAGAAATATCATAGCCACAAATATTATAAGATCATTCCATACTGATCATAAATAAAATGTCACTTTTTAATCTCTTCGCCAACCAGAATAAGCTCCATTGTCTAAATTTAAGGTACTTTAGTGTGGATGTTGTATGTAGTCTTAAAGCTTCTACATGTAGTATTTTTTTTTCCAACAATGGATGCAAGTCAAGTAATCACTCAGGCAGCAGCTGAGGTATTTCAGTGACCAAAATGCAGATTGCCTAAGGTAAAAATCCTGTGCTTTCTTGTATTTTTCCTATTTGAAGGATGTTATGGTTTAGATGTGAAATGTTCCTTGAAGACCATGTGTGCTAAAGGCTTGGTTGCTAATCCAAGTCTATTGGGATGCTATTGAAAGGTTATAGAAACCTTTAGAGGTGGGCCTTGTGGGAGGAAGTTAGATCATTGGGGAGCATGACCCTGAAAGGCTTTAGGGACTCTTACTCTCCTTGCCTCATGGACACAATCAACTTTCCTCTGTTATATGTTACCTTCCTTGGTATTCTGTTTTACCACAAGCCCAAAAATAACTTGGCCAACTGGGAACTGACTGAAACTATGAGCCAGAATATACATCCTCCTCTCCTCAAAAGTTATTTTATTCTCAGATAATTTTGTCATAACAATAGAAAGCTGATTAAAACAAGGGACTTATTTCTGAATAAGTGTAATAGAAAATTCCTCTCCTCATGAAATTATATTCTGATGGGCAAAACAAATTACTAGAGTATATGTAGTGGTAACTGCTAGGAGAAAAATGAACCCAGAGGTATGAGAGATATGAAACTCTTAAGAACTGACTTGGGTTCACAGGAAAGCTTTACTGAAAAGAAGACATTTCTTTTTTTTTTCTTCCCCTTTTCTTTGCGATATTACCATTTGAACTCAAACTTGGTAGATAGGTACTCTTCTCTTTGAAACATTGGTCTCCTTAATTTTTTTAAAATTCTCCTTAGTTTTCAGATAGGGTTTTTCTTTTTGCCAAAGCCTACTGGGACCATGATCAACCTATTTGTTTCACAGGTGATTGTGGTAACAAGCACACTCAAACACACCTACGTTTTCATTGGTTGATATGGCGTCTAACAAACCTTTTGCCTAAGCTGGCCTTGAACCTCAAACTTGATCTCAGCCACCTGAGGATCTAGGATTATAGCCTCAAGCCACTGTGCACAGTATTCATTGTCTTGTGATTTTTATTTTTAATTGTAATAAAAATTTAATTGTAATAAAAATGCCTAAAACACCAAATTAAGCATTTAACTATATAGTTCACTAGTGTAAAGTACCTCAAATTGTTTGTTATATAACCAGTTTCCTGAGTTTTTCATCCTGCAAAACTGAAATTGGCACTACTTAGGAGAGAGAGCAAGAAAAGAACAGAGAGCTAGAATAGAACAGAGAGAGCAAGAAAAGAGCAGCAAGAGCCGATGCAGATGTGACCTCTTCCAGGTGTCCCAGTTGCCTAGGTAACACAGGTACTGGGTGGAGACTTTGCTGCGAGGAGGGTGGAGTCTGCTTGACATCCAGGAGCGGACCTTACAGCCACAACCATTCAACTTGCTATTCCTAAAGTTTACGTACTCTAAGTAATTCCTATTAGTGGAATCATACAATATTTGGCTTTTTGTGTCTGATTGATTTCACTTAGAATAATGCCCTCAAGGTTCATCCATGTTGTAACAAATTCAGAAGTACCTTCATTTTCAAGACTAAAAGAAAGTCTACTGAATGTGTATTCCACATTGTGTTTATCTGTCCTTTTGAATTGCTTGGAACTTTTGGCTATTCTGAATAATGCTGCTATGAACATAGGTATTAAAAATACATATTCCAAGCTGGTGTCAGCTATTCATGCCTGTAATCCTGGCTACTCAGGAGGATGAAATCTGAGGATTGTGATTCGAAGCCAGCTTGGCAGGAAGATCTATGAAACTCTTATATCTAATAAATTACTCAGAAAAAGCCAGAAGTGGTGCTGTGATTCAAGTGGTAGAGTTCTAGCCTTGCATAAATGAAGCTCAGATAGCACCCAGACCCTGAGTTCAAGCTCCAGGACCAGCAAAAAAGAAAAGAAAAAGTCTTCCAAAGCTTGGGGATACAGCTCAGTACTCACTGGTATAGGGTCTGCTTAGCATGTGTGACACCCTGGATTTAATCTCCAGTACCAATAAAAACAAAGAATATTCCACTTTCTGATTTTGATTGCTATAATGAAATGACTGAGGCAGGCAAATTGTATAAAGACAAGATACGTTTAGCTCACAGTTTTGGACGGCCTAGGATATGGCACTGGCATCAGCTTGGCTCTGGTGAGGCTCTCATGGCTGGTGACACCACAGTGAAGGCATTATACATATAAAAAAAATTACAGTTCAAAACGGGGAGCCAGAGAGACTGGACCCCCAAAATCCCTCTCAGAAATATGTTCCTTTGACTTATGTACCTCCTCTAATAGATCACCTCTTAAAATTTCCTTCTCTTAGTACGGCAGCCTTGGCCCCAAGCCTTCAACCCTGAGCATTTGGAGGGAATACCCTTCAGCCATATCCAAAGCATAGCAGGTATAATCCAGAAGTGGAGCAGCCACATTGGAGATTGTGTTTGCTCTCTTGAGGTACCACTATAACATTCTCCATAGCTGCTGTAACATTTAACATTCCCACCCATGTGCATAAGGGACTCAGATTATCCACATGTTTGCAGAAACGTATTCTCTATATTTTTTATAATAGGCATCCCAAAGGATGTGAAGTTAAAACTCATTGGTGTTTTGATTTGTATTTATCTAATGATTACCAAAGCCGGGCATCTTTTCACATGCTTCTTAGCTATTTATATAACAACTTTGGAGAAACATGCAAGTC